AGAGAGAGAGAGAGAGAGAGAGAGAGAGAGAGAGAGAGAGAGAGAGAAAGGCGAAAATATATAATGGCATTACTGGCAAGCATACACGCACCAATTCCACGATATTAAGAGGAGACAAAGGCTGATAAACAGTCTCCGCAACAGCATGGCAAATAATAAAATGAAAAACAAAAATTCGTACTCATCGGCATGTGAAGTTGACGCAAAATAATACACTGGAAAATGTGAACAAAATATCGCTTCTTGCAGGTAGTATACAAATGTGTGTGTGTGTGAGTACAGAATATGTATAAAATTGAAATGAACGAAAACACGCAGACTTCACACCATTATTGATTTGATCGCATTTTCTCGCTGAATAACGCGACACACGGCACCGAAGTCGAGTCACTGAAGAAACAAATCTGTGTCTTTTGGTGTTGAAAACGTTCATTTGGAATGTGTGTCCCGACAACAAGCAAAACACGCACATTTTCGCTCTCATTCACCTTTTTTTTCCTTTCTTTGCGTCGCCGTGCGCCATTTCTTCGATCTTTGGCCAGTTTGTTGTGTCATCGAAATGATGCTGCAGCTCGTCTGTGTGCTGGAAATTGTTGCTATTGACCGTGTGCTTGAGATTGGTTTCAATCCTGAATCTTCCAAAACCACACGCAATCATTGCCAATTGAGGAAAGGCATTTTTGAATAAGCCCGAACAAACATTCTTCCTTCTATGAAATTGATTTCATTAGCGCAACAGTAATTCGATCGGATCGATAAATTCATTTGCTTGAATATTGGTGGATCGTAGACAATGGCTTCATAGCCAAAGTAAATGGTTGGTGGAAGATGCAATACCGAAAATTGAGGAAAATTCCACAATGCAGAAGCCATTAGAAGTTTTGATGATGGAAATATTTTGGCGTGTTGGCACACCTAATGCATTGCAATGCTCGCTGGATGTTTATCTTTATTCGCGCCACTCAAATCGACCCCAACAAATTAACATCCGTATTCTAGCTGACAAAGTTCACGTCTCTCTTCTCGAAACCATTCTCTCTTTTCATGGCAATTTAATCGCGAAAATTATAAGTTGCATCAATGGCTGCTGTGAATATGGTCTGCATTGATCACGCGTTTCCCTAGCCTTTCCTCGCGCCAAGCAATGATTATTTGAATCGTATCATTATTTTTGCATGGTTTGTGATTTAAGTGCGGGGATGTGTTGGTGCATAACTTGTGGATAAAATGTATTACTACTATTTAAATGTAATTTTATGCGGAAAATGCGTTCTGCGAAGAGAACAACGAAAGAGAGCGAGAAAGAAAGAAAAAAACAACAACAATTGGCCGGGCTGAATGTGTGCTTTATTTTGTGCAGAGAAATCAGCGAACTGTGCACTGTTGCGTTGTGGATGTACCACAGCTGTACGGGCTAAGTTATAATTGAAAAAGTACCGCGTTAAACATAAATTAATGAAAACCGCCTCTTCTCAACATAACGCCCATCGTTTACATTACTTGGTCGTTGTTTTTGGTTATGTTGTTACTGTTGTTGATTATTTTTTTTCGTTCGTTATTTGCTTTCTTGCCTGTGTATTTTTTATTATAGCCGTTGATCGTGATAATATGTGAAACCGATGATGATATTTCTCTACCGGCACAATATTAGGCGCTCGCGCGCGTTCCTTTAACTTTGACTTAATATAGTCACTCATTAATATATATTTATTTTACTTTTTCCGTTTTGATTCGCATTTTTCTTTTCATTTTTTTTGCGAAGTTTTCTTTCTCTCTTTATTCTTCGCGATTTCGCTCAAGAAATTGTACGAGTATTCGATTCTATTGGTGTGAAAATTGAATGGGGCGGCCGTGGTCACAGTGGAGCCATTTCTATTTGCAAATCAGTAAGAAAAATAATGCAAATCACATTTTTGTTTGTTTGTACGTTCAATCGTTTTTTTTTTTTTTCAAACAAAAATTGCCCCTCACATTGCGTTCAGCAAACGAATTTCAATTTAAATCTAAAGTGTTTTAGGCATGAATCGTAATAACTACCATTAAAAACGCAAGAATACTAATAAAAATGGGGAAAAAATCCATTTTATTCTTATCTTATAAAGAAAATACCGATTCGAAACTGCAGAAAATAAGTTGTTGATTTGGAACTGTGAATGGTTATCAGGGCGCTTACGTCGATTTCTGTTTTGAACGTATGTATGAGAACGTATTTTGCCGTCGGCTGTGTGGTAACCAGAACTCAACAAGCAGAAAAACCTCAAATTAATTGATATTTATAATGTATCGTTTACAATTTCGAACCGTTTCTGAGGACATTTTTACGAACACAGCAACAACAAATACTCACGAAAAGAATGAATTTTGTGGGCGGTTCAGAAGAAAAAAAAGACCCGAATTAAACCAATATTTTTGACCATAAATATTGTGTGCTCGAACGCGATTGATTTCGTTGGTTTTTTGTTTGAAACGTGGTCATCGATGTGTGACTCGTGTGAAAGAACCGGGAGATTTGAATATTTGAAGCTCATTTCGACTTAAAGTGGCTAATCACCGTGTGCCATTAACTGATAAACTGTTTTTTTCTAAAAGAAAATTTCCACTGCTCAACGATCAATAACACAAAACCACCAAAATCAACGAGCAAAACAAACAGTCGCACAGCTCTGAAACCGTCTATTCAAATCAGTGATTAACAACATTATGATTATGCAAAGCTAGCATTGTAACGAAACGACGAATCAAATTAACATGATTAAAATGTCGAAAATGTTGATGAAACCCAAAATTAGAGTTCGGTCAATATTTTTTAAAGCAAAAATCAAATCAACTAATCTCCTACACCAATGTTCTATTTTCAATTTTTCGGCGAGCAAATATAGAAAAAGGCCAAATTATCAAACACATTGACAATAATTTCGAAGTCTTGACAGTTTCACGTCAAATTCACGTTAGCTTTGAATATGGATTGACATAAAGAGCAAAACGAACGACAAAGCGAAGAAGAAGAAAAAAACGAAATACGAAAACTGGATGATTCAGAAAAAAAAAATTGGTTGTCGTTTTTCGCGGTTCAAACGATGGAAATTGGTCTATAATTGTAATAATGCCTATCATTACTAACATTTAGTCATGAATTGCTATGTCATCATTCGACGTCTGCACTAAGGTAACCAAATGGTTAATACAAATATTAGAAGGTTTTTTTTCGCCTTCTCTCTTCGTCGTGATCGTTGTCGTCTTCTTTGCATGGTTATTTAAACCGTCAATTTCCCAATTAATGATACACTTTTCGGTCGAGTAATGAAATGAAACACAGCAAGAGAAAGAGAGGGAGCGAGAGAAAAAAGAGAGCAAACAATGGATAAGAAGCTGAAGACACAAAGTGTAACGAATATTTGGTTTGTTAGGACAAAACAACAAGAATAACATACATACACACGGAAGAAAACAAAAATCCATAACAGCTTCCAAAGGAGAAATCGAAACCAACCAATATTTTTTTTTTCGTTTGTCAGGCCTTGAATTTTATTATAATTTCACTTGGTGGTTTTTCCGCTCATTTTCGTGGAAGAATACACAGCATACACACAACGAAATTGTTTTGCATCGCAAGCAAAAGAGAAAAAAAAAATGAAAGTGATGGCACTTTGAAAGACAATCAATGGGTCCGAAAGAAGGGACAAAGGGAAAATTGTAACCGATTATTATACGTATGGAATTCAGTCAAATATTTTGGTAATTGTCGATCCAAAGAAATAGAAGAAGACAAACGAAACAAGGCAAAAATCGTCAAGTGTCAATGATTGAACTTGATGTGGAGCGATGTTTCGAGGCACGGAATGACCGTTTGTCTTTTTTTTTTCTCCTCTGTTTCGATCACGAAAGCAATGTCTCTTGTGTTCAGCTGTGCAGTTCAGTTGCAACGGCACCTCTATTACGCTGTCACAAGAAAGCGCTTATTAACTTCTAAATAATAGTTCAAATTTTGTAAAACGACAAAGCCGACAACAACAACAAAAACACCCAACAAAATGCACATTGAAAGTAGCGAATGGCATAAAACTAGCAGCAATGTTACCGCCCCGAAAATTATTTTAAGTGTTGAACAACATCTGTTTCTCTAGATTTTTTTTTTTACTTCTTTATTGGCAATTATTCGTTAAAAGTGTTCAATATTTGAGCGGCGACCGATTGAAAATGCCACACATTTTTTTTCTCTCTCCATGCGGTTCATATGTTTCATTTTTATTGGCTTTTTTCACTCTCTCCATCAAATTGATGGCTTTATACAGAGTAGAAAAAATGCCGTTAGTTCGTGTACGAACACACACACACACACACTCATTTTAGAATAGTGCGTTCCGATTCGACTAACGCTTACCTAGCAATTTGGAAACAGCTCCTTGTTGTGTTAGCATGTGCTGGGCCAAGTCATAGCCACGCAATCCAAATCGTGACAATTCCAATAGCCGATGCTGTGATACTAGAGCGCTTAATGTTGACGGAGATGCTCCACCACTGAACACAGATGCTGGTGATACGGAAGCGGTTGCGGCACCGGGCATATTTTGACTTAAGCTTACTGCTGAAATGTGCAAGAGAGAGAGAAAGGGAAAAGAAAACATGATGAAAATTTTGTAAAATATTAAATTTTGCGGGAAATTCTTTGAGCTAAAGTTTATTTTTGCTATAAATTCATTGGGACCCATTGAAAAATTAACATTTTTTCCGATTCTTCAATTTTTTCCTCCAATTTTGTATAATTATTTTAATAGTTTGCGCATTTTATTGTTTCAATTTAAGCTTCAAATCAAATTTTGAAGTAATTTACGTTCGATTAGTCGAGTTCATTTGATTTTCAATTCAATTTTAGTATTATTAACGAGGATTCGATTTATTAATCATTCAAAGCACTTCAAACCTATTCGAATGAAAATTTCGCATGAGATTTTGTAGCCGCCGAATTGTCAATGAATGAATCATTGATGAAAACATTTACAAAAATCATGAAAAACTATCCCAAAAATGAAACCAATCATAAAATCATTTCATTCAGGAACAGAACGACATTTTTTTCTTCTCAAAACATGAGATCCCTTCAGTGCTACTTTGATGGTTTCCCATCATAAAGTAGTTAAAAAGACAATTCATATTATATTTGTTCAGTGAACAATAATTTGTAACTTTAGACAAAATGAGTGTAGTGCGCTTGGTTGGTTGGTGTGAGCGACGACATGAAGGTTGCAATAATAATTGCGCTTTCATTGAATCCATTTAAATTGCAATGCAGATAAAATGCTGCATAATATACGACGATGGCGAAGACAAAAGAATCAGCGAATCAGCGACGTAAACGAATTCCGTTCGTCATGCAATTTGATGTTTATCGCAAGTGGTAAGTGTCATCATAATAATATAATTGAATGCCAAAACATTTTGAGAGAGAGAGAGAGAGAGAGAGAGAGAGAGAGAGAGAGAGAGAGAGAAAGAACAAGTAATAAATGCATGTTTTTTCTTCACTTGATGATTGCAATCATCATAACTACTGAAATGCGATCTCGCAGTCTGAAATGAGAAGTTAATCAATGGGAAATATGCGGCGCAAATGGGCAAATATGTGGCGTGCGCGCAACACTGATATATGAATACATTGAAACACAAAAAGCGATAGTTTCTGGTGTTCTTAAGCGATACAGGGTGCACTCTAACTCGGAGAAACATATTGTTGTGTGTGTGTGAATTCAAGTAGTAGTTGACCGCAACCTGTTTTTATTGTGTAAGTGATCAAAGGAATGGAATCTCCTTCAAGAGAGCGTTAAAGCGACATAATGCATATTTGCGAGTGTAATCATGTGCACAAAACGCAACACGATCAACCATACCACTTTGGTTCGATCACGTCGGCTTTTTAACGTGTGCATGTGTGAACGCAAAACATAAATTGAAACAAACAATTGTCATTTTGCACTGACTGCTGATTTTTGTTTGTTTTTGTAGCTCCCCCTCTCGTTCTTTCCATTTGGCTGCCGATAAGTCATCATTACACATTTGCAAGCCATTACATCAAATCATTATTAAGCGCTGACAGCATTGGCGCGCTCAAACGATCAACCGACCGAACGTTCCAACGAATGGCAACAAAAAACAACACCCAAACACCAAGTATGAATGATGACTGTCTCTTTGCGCCCAGCACCCGGTCACTTGTCTTTTTTTTTCCTTCTGTAATTTTTCGTTTACGCATTCATTTTATTATTGTTTTTTTTTTTCAATTCAATTTGAAGCTCATCGTGCATAACATAGCCTTTTGCAATGCAAATTTCTTCCGGTGATGTTACGCTCCTCTTTTTCCGCTTTTCGCATCGCAATTCTCTTTACACTTCTCTCTCTCTCTCTCTCTCAACACTTTAAATCGTGTTTGGTAATTTGTTTTTTGTACGATGACACATTACATAAATTGTGCCATGTTTATTAATATTAATTCATTAACGTGTTTATTAATTCGATAAAAACACACATACATTGGTCGGTGTGACAACGTATGTATGCTGCGGAACTGTGTGTGCATTTTGAAAAGCGTCTCTCGATAAACACAGAATAATTCAAAGATAAATTCGATGATTGCACGAACGAGCAAACAATTAATTACCATAAATTTTAATTTCTTTGATCGTACACATTGCCGCACTTAATAAAAGTGATGTTTGCACTTATTTGAATTGAATTCAAACGCAATGAAACCACCGAACCCGCCATCAATGTGATGATGATGATCTTGTTGAGAGAATCGTTGTCTGTTTCGACCAAATCATGGCACTGACTGCCAACAGCGATTGTGCTGCTGAAAAATGCGGTGGCCAGCGTAACTATTGAGTGAATCGTTGCATGAAAAGATCCGATTTTACGTGACGTTTGCATTTACGTAAAGACAGTTACATACAACTGAGTGACTGTTAGTCATTTTATTTGCACACGGGAACGCATGGAAACATTCGATTTTAATCGAGGAAATGTCAAAGTGATTGCCCAATTGTCATTGGATTCCAGGCTATGGTTTCGACTGTCGATTTCAAACCGAATTAACTTCTAGAATTCGAGTTTATTGGCTACCTTTATCCTTTGAGAACTCTACCTTTGAGGAACTGTGAATTGATTTGCTCATCTGTAAAAACCGGATTTGCAGTTGATATTTTTTTATGCTTAGGTTGACTTTTAAAATGCTTCATTTTTCTCATTTGCTGTGAATGAGCACGAAAGCTTAATTTTCGAATTTTAGACGACGATCATTTAAGCAGAGAAAAGTGTCCGAAACGAAGGAGGATATCACAACAGGTGCATCAGTAAGGCATTGTTTTGCAAACGAGAATAAAAAAGAACGTTAGTTTCTGTCATCGATTGTATTCGTTGAAAACATGAAACGATCGTCGGTTTGTGTGTGTGTGTGTGTGTGACTTGACGACATTTGCGTGATCACAGTCTTCAAATGCGAATCTGTTTCAGAAACGAAACCAGATTTAATCGCCAAAAACGGCCTTTTTTTCTTCCGCCTGCTCTGGAATGAATTTAAGAGCGGCGGGCATTGGGAGCAGTTTTTTTTCAAACTTCCTTTGTCGCAGGTTGAGCATTTTGGTGATGATCGTACTAAAAAATCAACTCTTGATCAGCATAATCATTCGCAAAAATATGTTTGAAATGTTTAATTTGTGTTCGGTTGACTTCAACTTGTTAAAACTTGTGGTCGAACCGCAACCGAAAAAAAAAACACACACACACACACACGAACGAATGGTCGATCCAAACGCATTCCATGCGACGCGCGAGAAAAATGTTTGAAAATTATTTGCCGAGAAATTTGTAAGACAGAAGTGGTTTTGGGTAATAAATTTCCAGTGTGTTTGTGTTTGTTTTTTTCTTCTGTTTGTCTGCATGCACACACTTCATTTCGTGCATCTTGTTTTGGGCTCACGAATTCAATTATGCAGCAGCATGCGAGGGCATATCGATTTATTCGGCACATAAATTCTGCGTTATTGTTGTAGCTCATCACATTTGATTGTAAACTGCGCAGTGCGAACGCGGTTTAACGCGCGACAAACCGATGAAGATTGAGGTGCTAGTGAGATGGAGACAGAGGGAAGCAGAAGTAGAGTGACAGAGCGGTAGAGAGATACAGAGGCAGAGAAAAAGAGAGAAAGAGAGAGCTCACAAGCGGCAAGATCGCGAAGAAGCTCACACAAATGAGAGAGAGAGAGAGAGAGAGAGAGAGAGGGAAAAAAAGGAATCAAACACGGAATAAATAACTAAATAAATAAATACGTACGTATTTAAAGAATGTGATAAATGTCTAAATATGCAATTTTGTGCAAACGTGTTATGCTTTATGTACTTGTTCGGATTGTGCTGGTGCTACTACTGCTGCTGCTGATGCTGTGTGTTCTGCGTGTTACATGCATTCGATGATGAATGTATTGGCAAAGGCGTTAATGACCATGATCACAGTGGTGCAAGCGCGCGCGCACGCACGCTCACTCTCTGTCTTTGTCTGCTTAAGATCTGGCCATTTCGGTTCTCGTGCATATTTCGCAACAAAAACGTATCCTACCACAATATCGTTGCTCTGTGTCATACACCTTAGTGAGCGCGAAAAGATTTACTCCTTATTTTCTCGCAACTTTGCTACTTCTTCTGTCTACGGCACACGAATAGCGATCGAAAAATGAAACTGATCGAACGTTGTATGTGTATGCAGCTGAAAAATGTCTTGTTCCTTCGCTATTATTCTGTGCATACGTTTCGGAACCAAATATGCGATCAATGCAAAATTCAGGTCTAGTACTAAAGCATGCAATCCATCCGGCCGCCAATCCGAATGATTCAATCCAACGACGATGCATCAAGGAGAAAAACACAAGAAGCAACGAAAAAAAAGCGCACAGATTCTAGATTCATCTCGCGGCTCGCCAAAGTTATGTTATATACGCATCTATATATAAAATTGGTCTGTGGCAATCGAGACACTATCCAGTTGTTCACCGTATCGGTGGTTTGCTCTCTCTCAACGAGACCGCAACGAAAATGAGAAAAATCAGGAACTCAAAAACGGTAGCAAAAAATGCGGTCATTAGCAAAGAATGATCGATTATTTGTTCTTGTGGTGTACGAAGTTGTTGTTATGTCGCCGTCGTCTTCTCTCTCTCTCTCTCTCTCTCTCTCTCTCTCGATCTTGCTTTCTTTGTGTTCTGTCGTGTTTTTTTCTTCTGCATAGCGCTCATGCGTGTGTGATTGTCTCGCGCGCATTGAATGGCACTTGGCTGCGGTTGCTCTTTCTGTATAGCAGCAGCAGCCGATGGCATCCGCATAACTTAACACTCTTGTATAGATATTTTCCATACGATCAGAACGGGCAAAGACGAGAGAGAGAGCGAGAGCTGGCTGCATTTTGGATGCTGTTTTAGGCTTTTCGGGCAATTAATATGCGCAATGTCCTCTCACCTCTAGTGATAAAATAACAACGTTCGAACAAGAGTAGAACAAGAGAGAGAGAGAGAGAGAGAGAGAGAGAGAGAGAGAGAGAGAGAGAGAGAG